AGTCAAGTGAATTGGTTTCAATATTTTAAGTGCCCACTGACCAAGTCGCGTCGAAGTTTCGTTTTTATTAGTTCTCTTGGTCACGTGGGAGGCTCGTAAACATGTTTACATTTTATGGCGTCAACTAGAGGTCAAAATTTGGGTCGGTACCTTCGGACGTAGTTGACGACACCTAATTAATATTTTACAACCAATCAAAATACATCAGTTGTTATATCTGGTTGGGAGCCTCTATATGTTTAACTTGCACAAAATTTAAGATTTAAAAAAAATGTAGGAATCTGATTCTACACTGATACAAAAAAAAAGTCTTGTTGCCTTTTGAAGTCTCTGATTAAGACTTGGCGGCAACTCATACTACACACAAAAAAAGGCAAAACATTACCACCACCTCCACCAACAACAACAACAACATAATAATAATAATAATAATAATAATAATAATAATAATAATAATAATAAAATCGAAACCACTGAGATATGGTATGAGCACCAAACAGAAACAGTTAAAAATAACAATGTAACTATCCTCTGGGACATTCAAATTCATGCTGACAGGGACATAAAAGCCAACAGACCTGATATTATCATAAAAGACAAGAAATTCAGGGAGTGTATACTTATTGACACAGCAGTACCATCTGAGAGAAACACCGCCATGAAAATTATTGAGAAATTGTGCAAATACAAAAGATTAACAGGATGTGGGGAATGAAGACTGAGACTATACCAATAGTAATCAGGGCTCTGGGCCTCGTGAGAAAAGGAATTGACAATTTTACTAACAGTGTTCCAGGGAACATCAACATACAAGTTGCCCAGAAGATCGCCCTACTAGGAACATTCCATATACTAAGAAAAGTGTTATCAATTAAATGACAGTTCTCCTATAGGGCATAAGGACTATAGTTTGGACCAAGCTTTACAGGATACAAAGCAGAAAACATAACATACAGAGATAATAATAATAATAATAATAATAATAATAATAATAATAAACGATGGAAAGATAAGTCTTCATGGTCAATACTCTGCCCATACCTAACAAGTTGATGTAGACAAACCCCGTACTTATCAGTGGTAAAAGTTGAAACCGAAGGTTTTTATTTTTACAGCACAGGACCAATGCTTACTTACAAGAAATTACCAAGCACACATAATGAAAAATAGTGTTAACCCGAAATGCAGATTCTGTGACAAATATCCAGAAACAATTGACCATTTTGCATCAGATTGCACGGTATGGGGCCATTGGCAACCACTAAAAATATAAAACACGGCATGATAGAGTGGGCCAATATGTGCAATGTAAAATATGAAACTTTTTACGGGAAGGAAACTGTAAGAAACTGATATGACCATAACCCAGACCCGGTGTAACAATTTTTTTTTATAGAACTGTAGTCCATGCTACGAAAATTATACTCACGAATAATACAGCTCACACATTATAAATAAAAATAAAATGTATGTGAATCTTATTTTTTGTTTTTGTTTTTGTTTTTCAAAAATTATCAGTTGAAAATATGATAAAGCTATTTCTGACGTTAGGTTGGGACCCCGCAGGAAATGTGTATTATACAGCAGAAATCAAAGAATAATAATAATAATAATAATAATAATAATAATAATAATAATAATAATCCCAATCCCTACTAGGAACATACCATATATTAAGAAAAGTGCTATAAATTAAATGATAATTCTCCTATAGGGCCTAAGGACATTAGTTTGCACCCGGCTCCATAGGATACAAAGTAGGAAACATACAAATAATAATAAACATTAATTATGTTTTAAAAAACGTCACTGGTGATGTGTACAGAGCATCAAACAGATGTACTTCACGAAATAAAATTTAGCACATAACCAATAAATTTTAAAACATCATAAAGGATATGATGAAAGTCATGAAAAACAAAATAATTTTTAAAGGTTAAATTTTATTAGGATTACTTTGAATATATAATTTTGGTTAACTTTGTCCAACGGTTGGATTAGGACACTCTCTAGACCTCCGCCCCTGGGTGGATTTTTAACCCTTCGAGGATATTTATCAGTATTTCTTAGTTAGGTAAAAATAGCAATACAAACAATACAATTGTGTGCCAGATGTGAATATCTATTATAAAAGATTCAGCTTTTTAGCCATTGCGCGAGTTTAACACTTTTAATCAAGACTGAAAAAACAACGTCTATTTTTTTACTTACAATTAAAAATTAAAATTAATTTAATTAATGTTTGAAGCTTTCTTGTCCTTAATGGATGACTACCTTTTCATTTATTATCATTTGCAAATCTAAAAATAAATTAATGAAATAAAATAAATTTGATTAAACTTGTCGTGCGTGTGTTTGCTTGACAGAATTTATTTTAAAGAGCAAAAGCCTTTTTTAAAACGAAGACTTTTAGTGTTAACTTAAAACTTCATTATTCAGTACGCGATACAACAACAACAAAAAAAATTAATCGAAATTGTTAAAAAAAAAGTTCAAATAATTTAAAAATAAAAAGTTCTTGATTTTGTTTTTCTTGGCCCTTAAAAACTTACTTTTTTAATTTTATTTAACTCAATCAAAAAAATACGTGCATTTATGTCCTTTCTTTATCGTTCTTTATGAATTTAAAAATGGTAAGATTTTTTTTCTCGGCAGAACAAGATGACACGATGAAATCACAAGCTTTTAAAATAGTTAACTTTAAATTTATTAATCTCTGAATAACTGGAGAATAAATTAATTTCTTTTTAAATAAAAATGTTGATGCTGTGTAAAGTTTTAAATGAAGTTTTCTGAAAATAAATTTCATCTCGCTTTCTCTCTCAACTTTTTATTATTTTTATTTTGTTCTAATTTCTTATACAACATAACTATTCTTTTACCAGTATCTCATGGTTATATTTTTATAAGGTCGTAATTACATATACTAGCGATATTTTTCGTCCTTTTTAAATTACTAAATTAATTTAATGTTTCAAACAAACTTTTCAATAACAGTAAGCAACCCACTGGAGAAAATATGGTTTTGTAAATAAATTGTTAAAATTAAATTAGTTTTCCATTTTAAGGTGGTATGCTTTCTTTTATCTTAATAACACCAAATTTGCACAATTTGAAAATATCGCAAAATATTTCTTTCTTCTTAACTGATTATTGAAGTCTGTGATTTTTCACAAATTGCCACCTGAATTCAAATCAATTAAGGGTTTAAACAACACCATTATACACACCCTTGGTTGCATCTACCTGTAAAGAAAAAAATAAGATTCACAAATCTACCTGCGTACAACATCCAAGTGTGTTTGAAGGAAATGACTTGATCAACACAGTATATTTTTAAACGTTGCGAATTTAGTAGTGTACAACACCAACAGGGCTCGTAGTTGTCACCCGTGTGTTAAAAATACATTTATCTTTTTCATTTTATTTCCTTTCAAATGTTTTAATTTTTTAAATTATTTTTATTTTAAGAATATTTGAAAAGAGAGATAAAGACATTTTTATTCTCATAATTTTTCTGATAACATTTTTCAAATTTTCCTCATAATTTGTATTCATTAGAGAAGATGCTGATTTTAGGAATAATTTATTTTATATTTTTATAATTCATTACAACTCAAAGCTACTCGACGGTAATATACGTGCATGCCGATGTGCACATATGTACCTATGTAAAGGGTCGATGTGTAATTACCCTCGAACCCCACCCCGGATCGGTGCAGTGCTTTGGGACCTTCGCTATCAGCATTTTTTCTGCCTACATTTATGTACGTTACAAAGTAAACTAAGTACAACTTAGCGTTAAAGGATGAAAAACTTCCGCTGATTTTAATGCCATTCTGAGGTCTTTTTTGTCCAAAACCGTGAATTTGTTTTTGCTCATGCTGAGTCTAGAAAAAAACACTATATAAAATTCACTATTTTTTATCCATAGTGTTGAATGTGTTAAACATTTTAAAACAAGGAGAATCTCAAGTTAATGTTAAAAATTGCCGCAAAAAAACTGATTAATTTGATGATTAATTTAAGATGGTATATTTTCGATTTTTTAGTTCAATTGTCATTGGTCATAATTACAATCAAATTTGTATTTTATATGAATAGATGAAAAAGATGTAGTAATGTGAGGGTCGTATCATAGATAAAGTGGGGGCCACAAGTCCCTTACACCAGCCCTGTATGTAGTACGTGCAGTTGTGTATTTCTATAGTACAAACATAGTTTTTTTATTCTTTATGTTTAAATACTGAGATAATTTATAAGTACTTAAAGTATAGGAGTATAGTCCATATACGTCGAGTCAAGCTGAAAAAGCACATAGAAAACTTCTAAAAAAGTAATATACTCACTTAACAAAACTTAATTATATTATTTGATTTATTCATTATTTCTAAAGGTTGGATGTATTGTAGATGTAATAAAACTTGGTACCATGTATTCGTTACTCAAGTCAAGCATTACCTCCTCTTTGCATTAAAAGTCTGGGACGCGCCCTAAACCGTCTGTGTACTTTAAATTAAAGAAAAAAGAGTAAAAGACCTGTCACGTTTGTCCTCATAGGGTGATAGGAGACTTCATTCGTAAATTTTTAGTTTGTCTTTTCCAGTTGTGTGTGTGTTAAAGACGTTGAACACACATTTGTACATAAAAAAAATGACCTGGGTAATGGGTATGTTGCTTTGTTTATTGAAAGATATTGAAAAAAAAAAACTTTGTAAAGTCAAAAGTGCAACATGATACGCATTTTTAAAGTCATTTTGATCAATCACTAAAGGAAAAAATATAGAAAGTTCATACATATTGAACTTAATAAAAGTATAAAACTAATAAAGTAAAGTCTATTCAACAAGGTCACAAAAAAACGTATGCACTCACTCAGTGATCGAACCATCAATTCAATCTTTAATAAACGCCTGCATTTGTAACTTTATCTTGTGTTGTAGTGTGAACCAACTGTTAGTAAATAAATAAATATCAATAGTGATATGCAGTTCTCCCTCATGTACGATATTTCTATAAAAAAAAATCAATCATCAAAACCGTACAAAACGCATGTATTGACAACATTTATTTGGGGCGGTACTTATCCCGCCTACCTAGTCGGACAAAGTCAGTTTATTCTTGTTATAGGCTTCCGTAGTTTATGGGGAATTCAGTCTTTCTTGGAAATCTTTATTATTTTCGTGGAATACAGGATTTTGTTTTAAACTCTCATTTCTAACCGAACTTCTCCAGCATACAGAAGACATATAACATACAGAATTTACAAGTAAGTCAACTTAAAATTATACATAAATTATCAGTAAAAAATGTTTGTTTTAGTTTTTGTAATTATACGCTTTCTTTCTTAGCATTTCTTTTTTTTTTTTTTTTTACTTTTTCTCTTTGGTATTTGTTTTAGTTTTATTTCACTTCAAATTTGATTTAGAAAATTTTACACTTCATTTTTACTTTCTTATTTAATATATTCACTTATTTTATAGTTTTTCTTTCTTTTTCACTCCCTTGGTTTTTGTTTTGTTTAGTTTTGTTTTCGAGTATTGACTGATGCGTGTTGATGTTTGATTGTTATCAAGCGCGGTGTAAATTTAAATAGGAAGTTTAAACTGTTTTTTTAACATTATTATTATTTACTGTACACTGTACAGTGACACTAACTTTAAGACTTCTCGAAATTGATTTCTGCTATCAGACATCCAATTTTTTAATCTCCTTCAGCAAGTAGAATAGACTAACAAACAAGCAGATACATTTTTTTTTACTCTGATTGATTTTATTTTTGTTTGATGGGTGATGATGAGTATTTGGGTCACTAGTTTTTAAAATGCATATAAACCAGTGATCTTAAATGGACAAACGATGAAGAATAAACCTGTTTCCAAGTTATTTATAAAAAAAAATAAAAACATTTGATTTTTTTTTTCTTTTTTTTTACTCTTTAAACAACTTTAATGACTTTTTTTTGTTTATCGAACTTATTTTTTTTTTAATGGCGATGACGGTAAATCATTTTTTTCATAGAAATTCAAGATTCTCTCGATTTAATTTTAAATTTATTTCCTAACGATGATCTGAATTTAGAAAACTTTTCGCTTATAGAATGTTTATGACAACAACAACTTAAGTAGTTGTGTTGAGATTAAATTAAAACATTTAACAGCTATCTCGCACGTTGAAATTAAGTCTAGGGGTCATTTATTGAAACAAGCTTTTAAATTTGTATTATCGACAATAGTTTAAAATATTTTTTAAATAAATGTGATACTTATGATCTCACAGATATGTTTATTGCTCGAACTGTTACTTTTGTTTGAGTTTTAGCATCCGCGAGTAAGCATCTGTGAAATTATTATTCAACAAACGCAAAACATGGAAGAACATGCTGAGAAAACCTTTGAGCAAGAAAATCTCAAACTAGTAACCACAGAACATCAAACTTGGCGTTTTGCATAAAATCTAAATTTGGTGTTTTTTTGTTTATTTTTATCAATCAGTGTTCAATTTTACAGTCACTTCTGTAAATAATTTTACTTCCTAGTCTATTTTCATTTTCTCTCTCTCTCTCTCTCTCTCTCTCTCTCTCTCTCTCTCTCTCTCTCTCTCTCTCTCTCAATAAAGAAAGATATCTTTTTTCTGCCACTCTTCTTAAATTTTGGGGTTTTAGTACACACGAATACGGAAAAAGTAAAACTATAACATTTTTTATATAACAAGAACAAATTTTTTAAGAAAATCTCTGGCAAAAAGCGGAAAACTTTTTCGTGTGAAGCATTTCGTCCTTTATACGTGTAAATAAAATGTGTGTATGCATGTTTGTAAGATGTAATATTCGATCGAAACAAAAGTGAAGATGATGAGACGAAGTGGAAAATTTTCATCACGGGAGATATCATCTCTTTGAAATCATCAGTTTGACTAAAAAAATAAAAGAAAGACAAAAAACTATGTGTTAAGGATCTTGGGATCTCTGAGTATAAGTTCGTGTCGTAAATAACATTATTACTCTCGCTTATCACTTCCTGAATTGAACTTGAGGGTCTGTCTGCCGCTCTGTGCTTTTTTTGTGTTTTTTTTTTCTTTCTTTTATCTCTGCATAGAATCGTTTGGTATTCTGACACTTTTTAATTTTAATTATTTTTGTATACACATATATACCCCACACACACACGCACACACTTACATACGTGTGCATACATGTACCCAAGCATAGCCCTTTTTATTTTTAAACATGCTCATGTGCATACACACACAAGCGAGATGCTTTCTTAAAGCATCTCGCTTGTGTGTGTGTACAGGTATATAAAGCAGCTTATATACCTGTTAAAGTGTGTACACACATACCACTATTTATGACCTACACTTATGTGCGCCCTCCTATATATCCGCACGCACACATATCCATACAACCGTAAGAAGAGCATTTTTTTATTTGTGGGGTCCGTTGTTTTTTGAGTTGCATTGGAATGCCTGGTTTGTTTGCTTACATATACATACATGCACGCATACCCATCTACATAATTAGAGAGCCGCTGAGGTATGTAGATTTTTAAATCCACCGACTCCAAGTAGTTTTACTGATGCCAAAAAGAACATAAGCTTTCTCCGGCGAAACACGTCATTGAAAAACCTTCCACTTTGTCTCGTCACAATACACACATATATACATGCACATATTCACATGGACATGCATATGCACATACGTACATCATACATAAAAAGTTATATCATATATATCATACATGCATGTACATATATGATATGTGTATGTGTATGTATGAACTTTATTATGTGTATTAACACAGATGTCAGTTTCCTCCAGTATGAATAATACAGAAAACAATAGACCTATATATGTGCAAAACTATAATACATACCACATAGTTTACTCTTTTGAAAGATATTCATTTTTATACATACACATACACACATATTGCGTGTGTCTCGGTCTTAAATGTCATTTTGGTCATTAAGTCAAAGTGTAACTACAAAATGTCTCAACGTTCACATCTCTTGGTTTTTAAAATACAATTTTTGCTTGTATAGTAATAGGGTGAAATCTTTAAGAGGTAATTTCATGTTCGGTCTCTTCTATATGATATAATGAAACCACATCAAAATGCACATTATTATTGTTACACTTAGTCGCTGTTAGTAGTAGAACAAGCAGCATTACAATTTTCATTGGAGAAGACTTCAAGACCTTAACGGCCAAGCTGCTCGTCCAGGATCTTTTCAGCTCATAAATGGCAGTAGTAGTTAATCTACAATTATATTACATCACCGTTTTGTGTGTGTGATTGATAAACAAATTGTTTTTTTTTTCCAATTTGTATGCTGTGTTTTGTAAGCTATCGTATTTCCAGAACAAAAAATAACAAGGAATTCTAATAGTTGCGACAAAAATGATTTATAAAAATAATATCCGGCTTCACAATTAGTTGTGGTCTTGTGACTTGGATTTTATTTCTCCCGCCACCAATTGAGTAGTAGATAATTTTTTAAGCATTTCTAATTTTATTTTATTTTGAAAGTGACTGTCATAGATGTCTTGAAACATAGCGTTAGACTTTTTTTTAATTTTCCCACAAATAACACAGAATTTTATTTAAAAAAAAACTCTGTTGCGCATATTAGAGGGAATGATAAATTTACTAACAAAAAAGTCATCTGTTCAGTGTTTTGATTTTTAATAGAAGTAAAAGTAAAAGCTGATGATAATTTGAACATGACAGGCAAACGTGTACTGACTGTATTATCTACTCTACACTTACATAGTTTTGTTTTGTGTAAATTTTATTAACTAGAAGTACTCTTTGTTTGTCCCTGGAAAACAAAGGAGTTTTAAAAAGAGCATCACCACTAACTTGACTAATAAACAAAAAAAAAAATTTTTAAGAGTCATTAGAAATCCATATAATTTTTTGCAAGTGCTTTTAATGTTTCTACTACTGGGTACCTAAATTCATTTCTAACACAAGTCAGTTATCGAATGTACACACATAAAATTGCATCGTACATACGCATACAAAATTTTCAATTTGCACAATAAAATCGGCGGGTCATTTAAATGCAAGCACACAGCTTATTTTTCTTGGAGATTTACGCTAAACTACCCAGTAAATATGGAAATTGGTAAAAATAAATGCGAAAATGGGATAAACATTTTCTTTGACATTTATGACTCGTTCATTCGAGACAGGAATACTCAAAAAAATGGTTGGGGTCCGAATCTGTTTTACCTGCACCGGCTTGTTATTAACCTTTCATTGGGTTATTTTATTTTACAATCAATGCTCTAATCTACAGAAAAAATGAATCCAGATGGAGAATTACAAAACAGAATTTGAGAACGAAAAAATGTGGTCAACGATGCAAGGAATGTCGAATATAGCATTTTTTAGTTTTCTGTTGTCAAAGTTGAAATTTCGTTTCAGCAGAAGCATCAAGTTTTTGGGAGGTTGTTTTTTGGGTTTTGGGTTTTTTTTTCTGTACCCTTTTTTGTTAGACACAGCAGGGAGTTGCATCTATTTATTTTTCATGATACAGGACTTATTTTGCCTTTTAACTGAAGTTCTTACCATCGTCAATTCACCCATTTTGTTTCTTATGCTGTTTATTTCCGAATGGGATTGGGTTTTTTCATCATTATCTCAGGAATATATTTTTAAGTTCTTTTTTTTTTTAAGAATAGATTTAATTTGCTCTGTTACAAATATGTGATCAGAAAGTGTAAGTATAAAAATAAATAAACTACCTGACCATCACAGTTGCATGCAAACTGCTTTTATTATTTTTACGCGCAAATAATTGAAGTATCATTGAGTTCAATATAAAAAAAATTGATGTGCAAAATACCGAATTACTTCACTTATTGCTTTAAACTAATATTCTGAATGTGGCTGGAACTTTGAAAACCGAAAATTAAAGTACATTTGCAAATTTCTTCACGGGGATTAAAGTGGTTGTTAATATTGGATTTGGGGACTCTAACTGTCGTTGTATTTCCGCTACAAAACGTTTTAAAAGGTAAGAGTGCGACTATTTTTTATTTTATTTTCGTTTTAAAATTTTTATTGATCATGGGCTAGAAAACCCAGTAGCAGAGTAGACTGGGTTCTCTAGCCTTGGATGGCAGCCAGTAAGGAATATTCTGAATTCGAAACTGTTGGGAAGGCAATTCAGAGAATAAAGAAACGGAATCTGTGCAGATCTGAAGGAACATGACATTTTTTTTTTTAAATATTGATCACAAAAATGCTAAAAATCATA